ATTTGGGGTACAAGTATTATATATATATTTGCCATATCAACTCATAACATGTCAAAGCCAAGAAAAGCCGTAGTCCCCTAATTCTCTTTCAGTAGCAGCCCCTGAGAAAGCCTCCAACCGGACAAATGCTCTAGATCAAACGAAAAGGAGAATTTCTAGTAAAAAATATCGGCGCATTTGATCATTTCTCTCTCTTAAGACGGTATAATTGGCGTGTATTAAGGACATCAATTATCTTTTAATTGGTAACTGATATGTTAGGCATATGTGTAAATATTTATGCCATAAATGATTTTACTGCAATAAAATGTTGGTCACTAGCAAATTTGTAATTATTTGCAAATCGTGTCGGATAGATAAAATTTTCCCATCAGATTACTCTCATGGAAAATAAACATTTTCCCCAAATTAAAAGTTAGGGTTACGGAAGGGAGAAGAAGAGAATTCGGGTTAGGGGAGGGAGAAGAATTAGTGCTACACCAAAGAAAACGAGGAAGAAATGTGGAAGCAAACTTCAGAGGTAACCTTGGATGAGTATTTCAGTTGCGGAAAAAGGACTGTGATGGTCACGTCTTGGACGAACAACAATCTGGAAAGGCAATACGCAGCGTGCAAAAGGATGGGTAAGTTGATTAAAAGTTGGTTCAATGTTCTTCTTTTTTTCGAAAAACCTAATTGCAATGGCTGAAGGATTGATTTGAGGGTACATTGATTGATTTATGCAAAAATGGTAGCAAATATTTTTGTGGATCGACCCTCCAATGTGTACAAGAGCTCGACAAATCGTACATTGGCTTTTGAAAAATTGCCGATAAGTCCTTGGGACTTATCAAATTTCAAAAGAAAGTCCTTTTTCCCTGTCGAACTCGCAAGCTCTCTAGTGGTCTGGTCCTATGATCCCCCGAAGAGAATGTGCCTGTGCTCGCCGACGACGTACCCAAGGCCATACCTCCGACCGATTTGCTGAAATTGTTATGCAAGTGGCAGTAGCAAATCCGAGTGACTGAAATTTTGAGTTTTCTCTGCTTCTGGAGTTTGCAAGATCTTAGTCGTTGATCTTGGAACCGTTTTTCCGATGTTCGATGGAGATCTATTCCCAACCAACGACGACGTGGAGACAAAATCGGGTCAAAAAGGTGAAGCAAATTTGCCGAAATCGAGTGTCGCGGTGACTTCGCTGAGCAAAGAATTCTCCAAGGAAAGTGAAGATCGGGAGTCGTGCTTGTCGTTGGAGGCCAACAAGCTGGAGAGTGTGTTGAAGACGAGGGTCCGACTGTCGTGGGTGGTGCCGGCATACTTGACCACTTCTGTC